GAAAATAATAAAGAAAGACAATGATACTGAGACTAGGACGAACGTGACAACTATTGAGCAGGGGCTGCACCGAGACGCAGCAGTGATGGTGGGGCATTGATGGCTCTGCCGACCTGAGGTCTCGGCATCACGGCCAAAAACACGCACCAAAAACAAAAGATAGAGCTGTACGAGTCAGCAAAATGAAAAGAAAGGAAGGGTTAACATCAGCGAGTGTGCGGGAGAAACTGTGAGACTATTAACAAATTACAAGGGCTGTTACTGAGAGGAGCATCATCATGGCTGATCATGGCGAGTCGGTTGTCTGAGCCAGTTGTGGTGCATAGATAGGGATAGAGGAGAACGACGAGAGCATCATCATAGCGAGTCGACTGCCCAGAGCCAGTTTGTGCTTCGCAGATGGCGATAAACATTAGTTTTGAATGCTTGCATTCCCTTGCTGTGGGGAGGCTGGGACAGAAGAGCGGCGGGGAGGGAGTTCCAGTCACTAATACTGCAGTGCGGGAACGAGCGCTTTAATGCCAGCGGGACAGATGCAAGCAGCTGGTGTTGGAGCTGGTGGTCATGGCCAATGACGCTACCATGCTCGCTGCGAGTTCTGGGGCTGGATGAGGGGAAATGGCGCGGTGGCAAAACAGAGAGCAGCTGCGGAGGGCCAGGCAGGTAATGCAGCTTGTATAGGCAGGCAAGCGAGGCAACAGTACGACGGATGGCCAGGCTAGGTAATAGTGCACCTGGACCGATGATTCGCAGAGCACAGCGTTGGATATGATCCAGGCGTTGCAGGTAGCTGGGCGGAGCACCTATCCAGATGAGGGGGGCATACTCCATAACTGGTCGAACAAATGCCTTGTATACTGTGGTGCGGCCGGCTGGAGAGAGAATGTGCGCTGCACGGCGCAGGAAGCCCAGGCGTTGTTTGGCTCGAGTGGCAACCTTCCGGAGATGAGTGCTGAATGACAGCTTCGAGTCAAAGGTCACTCCAAGTAAAGAGAGCGCCTTCTCCTCAAGGACAGGAGTGCCGCCGAAGACAATACGAGGCAAATTGATGGGGGTTCTGCGGAGAGTGGCGGTCATGGCTTGGGACTTCGACGGTTCGAAGGAGATGCGCCATCTGCGGCCCCACTGATGCAAGCGATCAACAGAAGTCTGGAGGCTCAATGCTGCGTCGGCTGGGGATGTGTCGAGGGATATCAGGCTGTACAAGGTAGTATCGTCGGCGTACGCCTCCAGGTGGGCTCCGGGTGACAGGGTCTCTGAGGCGTCGTTCACGTAAATCAGGAAGAGTGTAGGGCCGAGTATGCTCCCTTGGGGAACTCCTGCTGATATGGTATACAGCGATGAGGTTTGGCCGCCCACCAAGCATTGAATGGACCGTCCACCTAGGTAGGAAGAGAGCCAGGTATGCAGGGGACCGCCAATGCCAAGATGGCGGACTTTGTGGAGGAGGCCAGCATGGGACACACGGTCGAATGCTCCGGCAATATCCACGGCTAGAATACGTGCTGCACCGCCTCGGCCGACGGCTGTGATCCAGGCGTGGTGTAGAGCCTGTAGCGCATCTGAGGTCCCGAGGCGGCGACGAAACCCGAACTGGTGGGGTGTCAGGAGTTTGTAACGCTCAAGGTGATTCATGAGCTGACGATTGATAACGCTCTCCATGATCTTAGAGATTATGCTCAGCAGTGAAACTGGACGATAATTCCTTAGGGCGGATCGTGAAGATCGCTTGTGGATTGGAACCACGTTGGCAGTCTTCCACATTTGTGGCTGGACTCCGTGCTGGAAGCAAAGAGCAAAGAGCTGACACAGTGGCTTGGCAAGTTCTCTGGCGCATTCCTTCAAGACACGAGCGGAAATACCGTCGGGTCCAGTCGCCTTTGAGGCATCCAGGCGAGCTAAAAGCCGGTGGACTGCATCCGGGCGAAAGTGGACTGTCGTTAGTGCAGGTGCGTCAGCGAATGCCGTGTCCGGTAAGTCCATCGTGGTAAGGTCGCGGCCTTGCACACTGCACTTGTGGGAAAAGAAACGTGCGAAAGCCTCCGCTTTCTCATAGCTTGTGGCCCTCTCGCAACCTTCACTATCAACGAGCAGGGGAATGTCAGTGTTCCGACCCTCGCCACAAGCACACTTTAGCTTTGTCCACCATTCCTTCTCCTTCAGGGACCCATTCGACAAGCTATGTCTGAGGCTGTTCTCTTTGGAAACTCTAGATCTAGCGAGGACTGCGATAGCATTGTTTACAGAACGGGTAAACTCATGTTTCAGTGCAAAATCGTGAGGGTGCTTCCTCCAAGTGCGCCAGCGTTTGTCCTTCTCCTTCATGGCGGCTGCACACTCAGGTGTCCACCATTTCGGATCCGTTGACTTCACTGTCAGTGTCTTGGACGGAACGAACTGGGAAACGGCTTTCATGATTGTGGCAGTAACGTGCTCACACGAAGTTTCTGGGTTGGGAGTAATGACGGTTGACCAATCAACCTGGCGGAAAAAGGATCGG